AAGTACAAGATCTGTAGAACACACGGACACACACATCAAAGGACAAGATCTGTAGCTCATAGAACACACGTACACACACATCAAAGTACAAGATCTGTAGAACACACGTACACACACATCAAAGTACAAGATCTGTAGCTCATAGAACACATGTACACACATCAGTACAAGATCTGTAGCTCATAGAACACATGTACACACATCAGTACAATATTTGTAGCTCATAGAACACATGTACACACACATCAAAGTACAAGATCTGTAGAACACACGTACACACACATCAAAGTACAAGATCTGTAGCTCATAGAACACACGTACACACACATCAAAGTACAAGATCTGTAGAACACACGTACACACACATCAAAGTACAAGATCTGTAGCTCATAGAACACACGTACACACACATCAAAGTACAAGATCTGTAGCTTTTATAACATACGTACACACACGTCAAATGACAAGATCTGTAGCTCATAGAACACACATGTACACACACATCAAAGTACAAGATCTGTAGCTCATAGAACACACGTACACACACATCAAAGTACAAGATCTGTAGAACACACGTACACACACATCAAAGTACAAGATCTGTAGCTCATAGAACACACGTACACACACATCAAAGTACAAGATCTGTAGCTCATAGAACACATGTACACACACATCAAAGTACAAGATCTGTAGCTCATAGAGCATATGTGCACACACATCAAAGTACAAGATCTGTAGCTCATAGAACATACGTACACACACATCAAAGGACAAGATCTGTAGAACACACGTACACACACATCAGTACAAGATCTGTAGAACACACGTACACACACATCAGTACAAGATCTGTAGAACACACGTACACACACATCAGTACAAGATCTGTAGAACACACGTACACACACATCAAAGGACAAGATCTGTAGCTCATAGAACACACGTACACACACATCAAAGTACAAGATCTGTAGAACACACGTACACACACATCAGTACAAGATCTGTAGAACACACGTACACACACATCAAAGTACAAGATCTGTAGCTCATAAAACACATGTACACACATCAAAGTACAAGATCTGTAGCTCATAGAACATACGTACACACACGTCAAATTACAAGATCTGTAGAACACACGTACACACATCAAAGTACAAGATCTGTAGCTCATAGAACACATGTACACACACATCAAAGTACAAGATCTGTAGAACACACGTACACACACATCAAAGTACAAGATCTGTAGCTCATAGAACACACGTACACACACATCAAAGGACAAGATCTGTAGCTCATAGAACACATGTACACACACATCAGTACAAGATCTGTAGCACATAGAACACACGTACACACACAGCACAGATTGCATTACGTTTAACATGAAGGCTTACATCCACTTTGGGCCTAGACAAAGGTATTTTGATCATCTATGAGTAACAGCGTCGTATGTCACGTAACCTTCGGGGTATGTACCCAACAATCTGCACCCTAGAGCCTTAGAGTGTACAATCTGGTCACAGTGTACAATCTGCATCCTAGAGTGTACAATCTAAACACAATAGTGTACAATCTACACACAATAGTGTACAATCTGAACCTACAATCTGAATCTACAATCTGCACCCTAGAGTGTACATTCTGGGTTCTAGAGTGTACAATCTGGGTCCTAGAGTGTACAATCTGCACCCAGAGTGTACTATCTGCACACTAGAATGTATACTATTTTGTAACTCAATTGTGACTTATTTCTTTCTAACTTTCCTGATTAATGCATATCTATTTTATAAAAATAAAAAAACATTAAATTAGTCATTAAAATTACCTTACAGACCATATTCAGTAAGAAAGAGGATATAACTAAGTAGCAAGTTACTCGCAGAACATGTGAGCAGGGTTGGTGCATGCCAGCAAAACAAAGATTTGATTATATAGACAAAAAAAGAGGCAGATAAGAGTTGTTTAGGGTTAATATTGGGTGACTCGAAACAGGCGCAACGGAAAATTGTGCACAAAAATGTGCTCAGGGGATTTTTTTGTGTGGTAAATTGAGCATTTACTGACATTAGCAAAGATAGGTTACACGTACATTTTAGTATAATAAAACATTTCCCCACGGAATATAAGAAATTTAAAATGTATTAGTATAATTCGTTTCTATTTGCGCAGTTTTCCGTTTGCGCATTTCCAAATTAAGCGTAACAAAAAATGGCAGACATTTTTTAACCAATTTAGAGACTATTGCTTTTGCTATTTTATCTAAAGAGCCAGTTTATTTCATTTCCTTAACTTTAGTGCATTAAAAACCTCGATATTTATAAATTTATTTTAATAGGTTTATCTTTGGGTATGATCATCCTCCTGATACAATAGTCTCAAAAATTTTTTTAAAAAATTGGCGCGTTCAAGATTCTCGGTGCAACGTTTTTCACAATATCAGGCTCAACACGGCAATGACCTCAGGTAGGAAGTAGAGTTCACAAGGTAGGATGACAATAGCCGTTGACAATAGCCGTACCGATTTCTTTGGAGGAGGTGAAAATAGGTTGAGTTTTAACTGACCTCGTTTGATGTACTTGTTGAAAGGGATAACAAATATGGGCGTTTAAGTTATGTGTATGTATGTGTGTGTAGGTACAGGATAAATTAACGTATCTCAATATCTAAATTAATATCTAGTTTGCAGCAATATTTTGGTGTATAGACGCAGCCGGGGGAGGAGCGAGAAAGTGGCATGACGGGACACAATGGCGGCGACCAGTTGTAACCTCCCTGGGGTCATTCTTGTATGACTGAGTCACTGCTGGTCACTTGGTCATCCCGGCAGGTGAGAGCTCCAGGTCATCGTCTGGGAGGAGATGACCTCATTTGACCCCTTACCCACCCCTCCTAAAGTAAAAAGTTTTTAAACATCAAAACTATCATCAACAGCGAGTGTTTCTGTACTCGGTTATTGTTGAGAAGATTCTCTATAACCAAAGAAAAGGAAATGTTGTCTGTATGATTACACTGAAATGTCTGTATGATTACACTGAAATGTCTTTATGATTACACTGAAATGTCTGTATGATTACACTGAAATGTTGTCCGTATGATTACACTGAAATGTTGTCCGTATGATTACACTGAAATGTTGTCTGTATGATTACACTGAAATGTTGTCTGTATGATTACACTGAAATGTTGTCTGTATGATTACACTGAAATGTTGTCTGTATAATTACACTGAAATGTTGTCTGTATGATTACACTGAAATGTTGTCCGTATGATTACACTGAAATGTTGTCTGTATGATTACACTGAAATGTTGTCTGTATGATTACACTGAAATGTTGTCTGTATGATTACACTGAAATGTTGTCTGTATAATTACACTGAAATGGTGTCTGTATAATTAGACTGAAATGTTGTCTGTATGATTACACTAAAATGTTTTCAGTATGATTACACTTGCATGGAAGAGACTTCTTACGTTGTAACTCCTCTGTGATCTAGTTATGTGGGGTGGTTTAGAAAGCACGCAAATCATTGCATTGGAATATTCTAGATAGTTTAACGATACTAATAAATTAAAAGGAAGCTAGCGGATCTTTTGAAAAAGATACTGGTAGACTGTATCAGGAGTTGATGCGGATTCTTGAAGTGGTTCAACATGCATGTTAGTTTTAGATCAAGAATCAACACAAAGTATGCAAGCAACAAACATGTAGGCTGTAGTTGGTTACAATGGTTAATATGATGGCGGTTTCAAAGGATAGGAAACACCTTTACTGATGGGACATATACATTCCTATTGTTAAAGTCGTTTTCTGTTGTTTTTTTTAAATCTTTTTTTTTTAAATACAAAATGTTTTCTGACATTCCAAGTGTTTGGCTAGAACTAAATCCCTTTTTGTTTGTCTTGGCCTTTCGCTTTGATTTGTTCATCCCAGTTCTCGCACGTCCTAGCATACCGAGACAAGTCTAATCTAGCCCGCCATTTTTAAATGTTTGAAACTGTAGACGTACTTCCCCTCCCCATCCACCTCCCCCCCCCACCCCTTGCATCTTTCACCCGTCCAACAAGTGACCTAAATGGACGAAGCTCTAACACTTGTACACAATGACCGCCATCCTCAGGCCGAATCCACCCGTGCGTGGCCGACCAAGACCGTGGGAACAGGTACCCTCCTATTGTCTGCGCTATGAAAGGCGCGCGAACGGACACATGTTCACCGGACCTAAAGGTAGGGGACACCGACCCGGGGAGGGGGTGGGGGAGAAGGAGTCACAGATACAAATTTAAAACCACAAGAAAGCGGTAAATTTGAAATATTTGCTGGCTAAATAGAGCAAACATAAAGACACGAATGGGCGAAAGTTAGATTTGTTTGCTATCGTTCGGTGTAGACCTACCCTACCCCTCCCCCCATAATCCCCGCCGCAAGCACATTCTTTTGTGACAGGGTGATTTCCTCTCCCCGCTTCACTCACCTGTTGCGCACCTTGATACATTTTATTCGCCCCACATTCCCGCAATTTTCTTCAATTTATTCAATGGTGTCCTTTTCTTGTTTGTTTAATTTTAGGTCTATAATTGTTTTATTTTAAATACAAAATTGAGATGTTACTAATAGACCACGCTATGTATACTATACACACATTGAATCACATAGTTTAACTTTATAATTTACTTTTGTTACTTTTTAAATTGAGATTAAAATAAATTCTAGCTGTTTTTAATGTTATGTATTTTATTATTCTATATAAAACTAGTTAATTTTTAAGCTTCAGTAACGCTCTTGTATAGCGTTGAAAAACATACCACAATAGTGAATACAAATAAATTAAACCCAAATAAAAAGCGACTACACACCATTTTGATTGGTTCTTTCGTGACACATGAAAAAATAATAAGACTATTGTGTAGAAATAGTTGTGTGCAGTTTAAATAAAAGATCTGTTGAAAGCGGTGCGCAACAGTGCGCACTCTTAAAGAACGCCCAAATAGATACCAGTGACATCATTTTTTGTAGACAATGGCGGTAGTGCATACAGAATAGAAGCAAAAGGAAATCAGTAAAAGGACTGGATCAGTCACTGGAGATGATCGAGTCCTAGTTCTCGAGAACCTCCAGGACTCAAGTTACAAGTCTTGACCACGACGAGAAGGTTATCTGCCCCCAACGGTTACTGTGCAAGTCCAAGTCATCCATTATTAAGCTAAGTGTCCAGAACGAGGCGGGAGGTAGCCTAGGTCTACATTGATGTAGATCGGTCTGTATGCACGTTGCATTTTGTAGCCATTTCGAAATAACGCATCAGCAAAAAAGTAAATTAATTAATTACGCAGGTGAATGAATTAATTATTAGTAACATCACAATAATTTTAAAAAATTCGGACTGCAAAGAATGCGGAATAAACATCAATAAATATCAACAAAAAATCAATCATTAACTTGTTAGATCGTATTCTGTGTTGTGTAATGTGTACCAACATGGATTAAGAATGGAAATGTAGAGTAAAAACAAGAAGAAACTGAAGATCGTCTGCTTAGGTCACACTACACCATCTGAACACAAACAAGTCCACCAGATTATTCCAGGGTTTATTACAAAATTTTTTGAGAGATGTCTGGCAAAAGGAACGAAACGAATAAAGAAGGTATGCTACTATTTGTTTCTTAATTAAATTGTACCACAAATAGACATTCATTCATTGATTCAAGTTACAACTTCCTTACGCATCCCCCCATAAGAATAGAGAAATATTTATCTATGTGCAGTTCTTCAATTTCTTGTATCGCTTACCTACAAAGATAGTTCAACCATAAACCTAATCGTAATTCTGATTCAAATTACATGACAATAATTATAATATATTAAGCTTTGGGGTAAGTTTGTTAGTTAATAGAAGTATTGTAGATATTTAAAAAAAAAGTAGGTGTGTCTGTAAACGGTATCGATATTAGTGACTTTTAATGCTCTCTTGTAGAATTAAGGTACCGATATTTGTGCTACTTTATAGCTCTTCGTGAGGCGTCGTACGAACAGTAATGTTTTTCTCCAACGGGTAACAGTTAATATTGGATTAGGATTTGGGTTATGTCATGGCTTCTAAGATCAGCGGTAGTACATCATACAATTATATTGTTTTAGCACACACAAAATGTATACTGGGCTATATCTCTAGCTAGTGGCGTCGCTAGGTCGGGTGTCACCCGGTGCGCACCTCGTGGTGTAACCCCGCCTTTTTTTTCTATGTAAATTGTGTAGTTGGTGTCACCCCCGGGTAAAAGCTTTACAGGGTTTACACTTAATACTAATGACGTTTATCTACAGTCGCTTGTTAATACAGCTGGGTGTAGCATTGTTTTCTCTATAGTTTACGTCATGGTGTCGTCGTCGTCCCCACCCTCACCCCCCACCCTTGTCGCGATCGTCATTATGTACTCTAAATATTTTTATATAAACTCTAATTAGCCATCAATTGAACTGGCAAATAACATATTTATTCAATATATCTAGCTATTTTTGGTCTTGGTCCCGCCCCCCCCCCCTTAATTGGTATCACCCGGTGCGGACCGCACCCCCGCACCCGCCTTGCGACGCCTCTGCGTCTAGCATACCCTACGTATGCATAATGCGCATACGTTTACATCTACGCCTGCACATGCACATGGACAAGAACATGCTCATGCACATACGCGCGTACACACACACACACACACGCACGCACGCACGCACACACACACACACACATATATATATATATATATATATGTATATATATATATATATATATATATATATATATATATATATATATATATATATATATATATATATATATAATACATATGCTTATCACACACGTACACGTAGTTGTACGATGATTAGGCCCGGGTAAAGTTTCGAGTTTGTAGATTGAACCAAGTACTTGACCCATCCAACAGAACAAGATGCGAAGGTCAACCAACGGGCCGCCGGCTACTCGTCGACCTACCTCCGCAGGTCTGGCCTGGAGGCCGGTCAGGTGGAGAACTCGAGCGCCCCCTTCGACTCCATCGCCGCACTGCTCACCAGGAAAGATAATAATGACGACAAGTACCCACCCATCGTCACCATCGACGGACGGGTCGATACGGATATCGATCACCTGATTGATGATTTAGAAGATGGTAGGTCAAAGTCAGATGGTAGGTCAAAGTCAGATGGTAGGTCAAAGTCAGATGATAGGTCAAAGTCAGATTGCAGGTCAGTCAAATGGTAGGTCAATATCAGATTGTAGGTTGTCAGATTATAGGTCGAAGTCAGATTGTTGGGCAAAGTCAGATTGTAGGTCAAAGTCAGATAGTAGGTTAAGTCAGATTGTTAGTCAAAGTCAGATTGTAGGTCAAATTCAGATTGCAGGTCAGTGGGATGGTAGGTCAAAGTCAGATTGCAGGTCAGTCAGATGGTAGGTCAAAGTCAGATTGCAGGTCGAAGTCAGATTGTTGGTCAAAGTCAGATTGTAGGTCAGTCAGATGGTAGGTCAAAGTCAGATTGTAGGTCAAAGTCAGATTGTAGGTCAAAGTCAGATTGTATGTCAAAGTCAGATTTTAGTTCAAAGTCAGATTTTAGGTTAAAGTCAGATGGGTAACGGCGTCAGTTTCAGCTGTTAATTAATACAACAATACAAAACAATATAGGGCCTATATTTATATCTCACTGAACCGTACACTGAAGAGAATTAAGGGGAAGGCACCATGAAAAAACAAATTTTACCTCTTAGTTTTAGGTTGCTTCCCCTGCAAAAAGTACTAGAGAAAATATCGCACATTTTCCTAGTGTAAGTTTTAGCTCACCTACATACATTTACACATTTATAAGCGTTCTTTGTTCCAAACTGCGCTTTGTTCCCGGGTAAAACCAATTGACGAGCAAAGTTCTTCAAAACCTCAAAACTTTGTTCACGGTTACTACTCAGATTACTTGCAATTTTCAGTTCTGTTGTATCAGAATATGAAGCTTCACTATTACTTACTTACTTAGTCCTCTTTGCTCCTTATGGAGCACAGGGCCTCCACCATTTCCTTCCATTTCTTCCTATCCTCGGCTATTAATTTTGACATCTCCCAAGACATCCCTATTGGCTTCAGTTCTTCAAGAAGACTCCGCCTCCAGGTCTGTCTTGGGCGCCTTCTCTTCCGCTTTCCCTGGGGGTTCCACTCAAGCGCTTGGCGTGTAACATTTGTATGAGCCTTTCGCAGTGTGTGACCCACCCAGCGCCACTTCCTCCTTCTTATTTGCACACCTATAGGCTCCTGCCTAGCTTTCCTCCATAGTTCCAAGTTCGGCACTTTGTCCTGCCATCTCAGTTTCAGTATCTGTCTAAGGCATCTATTCATGAAGGTCTGTATCTTTGCTGTGCTTGCCTTGGAGACTCTCCATGTCTCTGCTCCATACAGCAGAACTGCCTTGACATTAGAGTTAAATATCCTAATTTTTGTGGTAATGGAGATGGCCGAACTTTTCCATATGGGAAGCTTCACTATATTGTATAGTAATTTTAACCGTATTTGCCAAAGTTTATTTATTCTGGATTTGTAACAAAATGTAGTGCAGCTGTACCAAAATATTCTGGAGCTTTTCATTAATGCACTGAAGCTGTACCTTAGTACCATAAGCTGTATAATTATTCTGGAGTTGAACCACAATATTCTGGAGCTGTGTAAGATGCTACTGGACCCATTTGAAGCTATGAGCGTGCTATGTCTTGTGTCCCCAGATTACACAGGCCCAGTGGTGGAGACACCGAGCCGCTTCCCCAAGCCGCACGTCTTCAGTGTGATCGACGGCTCGCTGGACGACGACATCGACAGCTACGCCAACGACGACGGCGCCATGGAGCACACGCTGGTGGACGCGCCCAAAAACTACAACTCGATGGAGCTGAGGGACGTGGCCTCTAAAGACACGTCCGTCAAGACCCCTGGCCAGGCTAAGGGAGGTCCATCTGGTCTGCCTCTGACCAACAGGTGCGTCTGCTACTCACCAAACTCTAGCCACTACTCTAAGGCTATGTTTAGGTTATGGTCTAGAGTTGCTTTATCTTTTCGGTAAGGGCTAGGGTTAGTTTCAATACGATGAAATAGCAACAACAAAAAAAAACGAAGGGCAAATCAAAACGAAACAAAGTGTACAAAACTGAAGTATTTAAATTACTAATTATACAAGCTGGCGAGAAAATATATTTAAGCTTAACAACGTTTGGTATTGTAGTTGGTTTAAATAAAGAAAGAGACTCTGACTGATTACAAATGAGTTTTTAAAAAAAATTTGAAGAGTTCTCAATTTATTTTGGCTTTCTCTGGACAGATCTTTCAATAAAACCAACGTGGAAACGGCTGAAGCAGGGCCAGGCTACGAGAACAACGAGAGCGACATGTCCGTCGTCCCCCTGACGCAAGTCAACATGCGCTTTGAGGACGAGTACGACGAGGACATGTGCCGGGGCGCCGACATCGGCAGTCGCGTGGACGAGATCCTGGCGGGGAAAGACGCGGGGGGAGCCGCCAAGGAAGACAGCGAGATGTACACGGAGCGAGGGGTGGAGCAGTCCAGCATCAGGGTCGTTGAGTCGTGTGAGCAGATCTCGTCAGAAAGCTGGCCCAAGATGGACGCCCTGGGCACGTCCAACAACCGGAAGTTGTCATCAAAACAGGAGTTGAGTCAGAGCAACGACGAGAACGGGGCGATGGTGTCGCTGGCAGACGGTGACAGGTCGGTGTTTCTGGACGAGACGTTAGCCGGGGAGCTGAAGAAAGATCTCTCGCAGCATTTTTGTGGCCCGGATAAAATCATGCGGCCAGACGAGGGCGGGGATGTGTGGGGGTTCGTGGATCACGCAGAGGGGGCGCCGCAGCCGGTGTCAAGTAAGCTTTGTGAAGCCACAGAGTTAGAGATGATGAGGGAGGGTGTTGGCACGAACGAGGAATGTGTAGGAGACACAGGAATTGCGGATTCCAAAAAAGAGGACGTTGAAGCTGTTGATACACAACATGCTGAGGCTGGAACTGGGTTATCAAATGATGCAGAAAAGAACAACGAAAATTCTTTAATGAATTGTGAAATGAAGAACTCAGATCTCGGCCAAGCTGAGATTCGCGTAAAAACAAAAACAGAAGAAGATGCCAAACAGCCAAGTCCTGGGACCTTTTCCATAGAACTTTCAGATTCTGGGTATCAAGAAAACAATGGGCCAGAACCCATGGAAACCAACTCACACCTACGTTCAAATACCCCTCAAGAGGCAAACACTGAACCAAACAACCTAACACAGGAGAAAAACAGCCCACCTGAACCAAACAACCTATCACAGGAGAAAAACAGCCCACCTGAACCAAACAGCCTATCACAGGAGGCAAACAGCCCACCTGAACCAAACAGCCTAGCACAGGAAAAAAACAGCCCACCTGAACCAAACAGTCTATTACAGGAGGCAAACAGCCCACCTGAACCAAACAGCCCATTTCAAGAAGCAAACAATCTCATTCAATCAAACAATCCATTTCATGAGGAAACACGTCACCATGAATCTAAAAATCCATTTCACGAGTCTAGCAATCCCCCCGAGCCAAATGGTGCTGTTCAGGATGCAAGCAGTCCCCCTCAGCCAGATGACTTATCTCAGATAAAAAATTCCGAGCCGAAGAATCCGTTTCAAGAAGAAAGCTCACCCCCGGGCCAAGAGGAGACGGTCCTGGTGGATACGCTACAGGGAAGTCATTCTAATTATAGCATCGGGCCAGATGGTCGAACAGAAACCTGCCATTCACACACAAGCACTGAACCCGAAGAGATCAAACCCCAAATTCTCGACGACTGCAAACACCTACCTGGCTTCCGTTGCTCCAAAACACAGTCAACGATCACGTCGAGCGAACAGAGCTATGTTCTGGAGACTCAGTCGGAGCCCGTGCCAAAGGACGAGGACAGCTCTGAATCTGAAAGTCTGAGTTTAGTATCGCAGCAATTCATCGCTCAGCTGATGGACCTGAGGGGAAACAAAATCAAGTCTAAGGAGCTGATCGGCAAACTTCGTGACATTGTTCGGGAGTCCAGTAGGGCTGAGGATAAAATACACCATTGCAAGGAAAAGTCAAGTCAGGAGAAAATTCCAATGGAAAGGCAAAGTCAAGAAAAGTTGCCTAACGAAAAGCCAAGTCAAGAAATGATGCCAAAAGAAAGGCAAAGTCAAGAAATGATGCCAAAAGAAAGGCAAAGTCAAGAAAAGTTGCCTAAAGAAAGGCAAAATCAGGAAAAGTTGCCTATAGAAAGGCAAAGTCAAGAAAAGTTGCCTAAGGAAAGGCAAAGTCAAGAAAAGTTGCCTAAGGAAAGGCAAAGTCAAGAAAAGTTGCCTAAGGAAAGGCAAAGTCAAGAAATGATGCCTAAAGAAAGGCAAAGTCAGGAAAAGTTGCCAAAGGAAAGGCAAAGTCAAGAAAAATTGCCAAAGGAAAGGCAAAGTCAAGAAATGATGCCAAAAGAAAGGCAAAATCAAGAAAAGTTGCATAAGGAAAGGCAAAGTCAAGAAAAGTTGCCTAAGGAAAGGCAAAGTCAAGAAAAGTTGCCAACGGAAAGGCAAAGTCAAGAAATGATGCCAAAAGAGAGGCAAAATCAAGAAAAGTTGCCAAAGGAAAGGCAAAGTCAAGAAATGATGCCAAAAGAAAGGCACAATCAAGAAAAGTTGCCAAAGGAAAGGCAAAGTCAAGAAATGATGCCAAAAGAAAGGCAAAATCAAGAAAATTTGCCAAAGGAAAGGCAAAGTCAAGAAATGATGCCAAAAGAAAGGCAAAATCAAGAAAAGTTGCATAAGGAAAGGCAAAGTCAAGAAATGATGCCTGTAGAAAAACAAAAACAAGAAACAGGACATAAAGATAGACACAGTCAACATACAATACCGAATGAGATGTTAAATCAGGAAATGTTGCCCATGGAAAGGACTTCTGAAGAAAACTTATCTAGAGAAGGGTCAAAAGATAAAGTATTGCCAAAACAAAAGCAAAATCAAGAAATGGCTCGTATGGAAAAACCAAATAAAGAAATGTTATCTAAGTTAAAACGAAATCAAGAAACTGTTTCAAAAGAAAAACTGAACCAAGAAGAAATGGCTCCCAAAGAGCAGCCAAACCAGGAAATATTTGCTAAAGAAACGCCAACCAATTTGTCGGTAGATAGAAATATGAGTAAAGAGATTTTAACAGGGGCGGATGCCTGCAGCAGTGCTGAGAAAAAATCCCACACAACAGACAGTTTAAGTGAGTACATGTCAGCTATGAACCATCCTTCAACAGCTGAATCAGATGGCACCAAAATACTCTTAAAAAACGAATCGCCGACAGAACATTCGAGAAGTCACAGCCAGGTCATGGACGCTGTCATCAGAAGAGAATATGAAAAGAGCAAAATTAAAGTGCAGCATTCAGACAGTAGGTTCAATCGAAAAGACGCCCTGAAGAATCAAGAGCTAAAGCTTTCACATAAACAGATGATGAAGAACCAAAGGAGCTCGCACGATCCACAAAATGCAACATCGAAGGAGCTTGCAGCAGAAGAAGGGAAACCAATGAAGAATTATGATATACAAGATGTTAGTATATCCGAGAAAATTGCAAAGCACGAAGCAAGACATTACTTGGATGAAGAAAAGCGAGGTGTTCCAAAAAGGGACGATAAAGAAGGCAGGAGGAACAACGAGTCGACTCGTGAACATGTTCACAGGGAGGACAGAGAAGGTAAAGACAAAAAGCACCGAACTCGCCGGGACTCTGAGAAAACGGGCATCGACGAGATATCTGAGCACGAAAAATATCACGAAAACGATGTGAAAGTTATTAAAGACGACTGCAAAGACAAGCGGTCATCTACAAAACACAGGGAAAACAGCTGCATTTCTCAGAGATTTGAAGATAAACCTAAACATGAACGAGATGACTTTGCGGAGTTTGATGGCACAAGAGAAATGAAACACAGATCAAGAACCATGCCTGAAGCAACGTCAGGGAGGGCCCTGAAGTTCAAAGAGATGCCTGAAGACTTTAATCAAGCTGACGCAGCTGTTTCCAGTAGAAACGAGTCTAAGAGAAAAATGGAGAAGCACGTGACTAAAAGAGCGACGGAACAGGATATAGATGCTCTGGCGTGTTGTGCCAAGAAAAACAAACACTTTGACGGGGAAAAGATGGACTCAATATATTCAAAACACCCTGAGGTGGCAGAGGAAGGTCATAAATATTCCAGTAAACATAAGGAAAACAAAGAAGACTTAGAGAATCACCAAGCCTCGAGCACACACAGGAAAGATAAAATGTCAAAACCAGGACATACACGGGAATCCAGCCACGAATATAAAGAAGAACAATATTTATCGCTCAATACAGTTTCTCATATAGCAGTGCCTGAAAAGAAGTTGCAGTCTAAAACTAAAGACAAATATTCCGATTTACTTTTCAAAACGACGGTAGATAAAAGGCAGTGCGTCTACACAGAACAAGGAGGCGTCAAAGAAGAAATGTATGTGGAGTCTGTAGAATCCACATCTACAGTCAGTCAGATGAAACTGGGAAAAATGAAAGGCCCGGACAGGAAAATGAAATCCCCCACAGATAAACGAAGTCATAAAGTTGATCAAGTCGTCATCGAAGCAGTGCAACCTTCAGAGGTTCAAGGCAAGACTAGACACAGCAAGGAATCCAAGCTCTCCATCAAGCAATCCTTGAAAGCTGCTCTACGTGTAGCCGAGGAATCTCTGACTGCCGCAGCTAGAGTAACCCAGGTTTTGAACAACGTCATGAAGGCCGCGGCCAAGCCAAGCGTCTCCACCTCTTCTTCTGAAGACGACCGAATCCCTGCCAGCGAGTATTTACCTTGCACCAAAACAAACTATACACAGATTCCAGTCTTTCGCAGAGCTGTCAGTATGTCTCCTACTAAGGTAGTAGAGAACGAAACACTATCAGACATAGATCAAGATGATAAGGATTCGCAGAAAAAGAAAAAGAAAAGCAGTAAAAAAACAACGCGAGCGATGTCAACCAGTGTGATCCAGTCTAAGAGCAGCTCTCCTTTCCGAGCTAAGAGCTCATCACTCTGCACACAAGAACGAGCCGAGCTTACCAAAGACCACGCGCGCAAGGAAAAGATAGCCTCGTGCGAGCTGTTTAAGAAAATAAAAATATCTAACACCACAGTTCAAGCCCCTGGGGGGAAATCAGAAAAATCGCATCACAGAACGGGCGCGACCTCAGTCGCAGAACACCGATCGCTGCATTCGGTTTCAAGCAAAGTTCAAGTTAAAGAGAGTCACCACAGGGAGTCAACAGACGCCAAATCTGAGCGCCATAGAAGCAGTCGAAGCTCCAGTAAGAAGCGGAGACGTGAGTCCCAGGAGGATCACGACGCCGAGACCCCCCAGGGAGGTAAAGGCAAGGCCAAAGAAGTAAAAGCCCACAAAAGCAACGATCAGCCTGAGACGAAGGCCAAGCATAGCAGCAAAGAAAGTAAGACCAAAACTTCGACCTTAGACGTTGATCACAAGACAGATGAATGCAACACGCACAAACGGAAAGAAGCGAAAACAAGTACAAAACCATCCGCCGGAAACAAGGATGTAGAAAATATTAAAAAAGCAACAATTGGTACCGCCGTCGTAAAAAAATTACAGGTGATTGACACGTGTCAAGAAAGTATCTACCGCGAGTTACCGAATCAACGACCCCCACAAGATTTACCCAATCAACGGCCCCCAAAAGATTTACCCAATCAACGGCCCCCACAAGATTTACCCAATCAACGGCCCCCACAAGATTTACCCAATCAACGGCCCCCACAAGATTTACCCAATCAACGGCCCCCAAAAGATTTACCCAATCAACGGCCCCCACAAGATTTACCCAATCAACGGCCACCACAAGATTTACACAATCAACGGCCCCCACAAGATTTGCCCAATCAACGGCCCCCACAAGATTTACCCAACCAACGGCCCCCACAAGAAAACATCTCCCGCGAGTTAGCCAATCAACGTCCCCCTACTGAAGGCGAGAGTGACATTATACCCGAAGGAAAGCTGCAGAAGACCATAGAACAGGAAGGTTGGAACCTCCCAGCCAACAGCCGCGTGACAAGCTGGAAGACAGATCACTACCTCACCCAGCTCTTCCTCCACCAGAACAGCGAGAACTCCCACTCCGCCCAGCTCTTCATACGGAGACAGGTGCTCGGCTCCAAGGTCGACCCCAACCCCATCTCCAGTGAGTCCGAGTCGCTGGAACACCCCGCCTGCAACCGGACGTCCAACAACCACAGCAACAAGCTGTGCGAGTTCGAGCCGCTGGTCTTGGTCAACGATTCGCCAAGCGGTGCCAGAGCTGCTAGATGGGGTGAACCCTCAAATGAAGAGAGAGGTAAGACTTGAAGGAGTTCACTATGGGTTAGTAAATAGAGCATCTAGCGGTGTCCAAACTATTGTCTTCTACTTGATACCCACATAACTATTCTTTTACCGGAAACGGATTTTCAAGCTATGCAAAAAAAAAAAAAAATCAATTTAATAATGTTACTCCACGCAAATATGGTTTCTTCACATGGTGTAGTGAAAAAAAAAAGTCTAAAGTACTTATGAAATAAATATAATGCTTCCTTTGCAGTACATTCATAATTTACTTTGTTTAGCAGGAACAGACCTAAGTACTGTATGAACTATTTCAAATTTATATTATTGTATTTATGATGCGTTAAAACAATATATTCTTATAAAAACTCTAAACTTCTCTTTAGATCTCAGGAGCGTGCACTGCAAAACAAGCCACGTAGCAGAAGTCCCCCAGCTCACGAGGAATGCAGCAGACAATACCAAGTTTCAGAAGAACGTCGAGGGTGAGCTGCCCTGGAGAGGATCCTCCTCAACTCGACCGTCGTCCAGTGCCCAGCGGCCGTGCACCGCGGAGCTCGAGGGCTACTTCCCCGACGACCCCACGCCCCCCTCGCTTCACCAGACGGCCAAGTGTGCCAGGAAGAAGAGCCAGGAGAGGGCGCTCTACGCTTGCTATGACTCACCCGTAAGAGAGGTCAAGGACAGAGCTGAGCGCCACTTGTGCAAGCAATCTTGTGTGGAGCATCAGGACTCACCCGGCCTCAACCCCGAGGTACTGAAGAACAACATCCTGTCTAGACAAGCACCGTTTCCAGAGAAAAGGGTGGAGCCATTCAGTCGAGTTCTGCAAGACAAAGTGCTTGCACCTTTTAGTCCTATTTACGAAGAAGGTAATTTATTGCTTGATATACTGACTATTCTGTTTACTTTTGATTTACGTTGACAACCTCGAATTATTTAAATACCAGAAAGTATCAAATAAATTAAGTATCAATTTGTTTAATAATAAACTGCTTTTAATTGCTCTAAAAATATAATTTTAAAATATACTTAATTTATTCCTTAGCTTCATAAAAACGTAGTTGCTTTAGAATCTAACAACACATTTTAGCTACCAACACTGACTTTTATAGCTCTAGAAAAAGTGTTATTCTAAACATCTATATACTCTGTATTCAACACTGCCAACATCCATTGCTTCTTACCATGTTCAGATAACTTTAATAAGAGAATCCGAGAAATAATACAGAAAGATCCAGATAGGCTATGCGATTGATCTAGGTGAACTTGTAATTTTTTGTTTTGTTTATCTCCATGTCAGCCTCGGATCGAATTTCCTTCGCCAGCTGTGAGGAGAGGAGTCGAGACATTGAGGTGTGGGCACACAGGCACTCACGGTCCCGTGGCCCGAGGAAATCTCGATCTAGGGACACGGATATAAACAATAACAGGGTCGACGAGGAGAACGATGAAGAAGGCGACGACGAAGAGGAGAGACTCTACGAACTCAAAAGATCCGCAGGGTCCGGAGTCGACCCTGCGGAATTCTACAGCGATAATTCCAGAGTGGAAGAAACAGAGGTCAGAGCGGAGGGGGAGGTTGTTCAGGAGGGGGGCCTCGGGGTGGCCGATGTCCAGCAGGAAGAAGCCCGTCCTGGGGATGCAGAGAGCATGAATGAAGCACAACTGAGAAAAATGCCAGAGGTAACAGAGGATCATAAATGGGAGTACGCAAAGGACACAAGCGGGTATGAGCCTTCAGCATTATCTGTGTCACCATCAGCAGCAAACAATGCAGCATTATCTATGTCATTATCAGCAACAAACAAGGCAGCATTATCTGCGTCACCATCAGCAACAAACAAGGCAGCATTATCTGCGTCACCATCAGCAGCCCACACACCAGCAGACGATGGAACAGAGCTAGTCCATCTGGTGCCGTCAGGCGACGTTAGCGTGATGCAGGCCCTACAAGATGGCACCTGGTACAGTTTCAGGCCAGAGCAACTCTCATCAAATGACGACGAGGGTGCTGCAGAGTCAGTCGTCTTCACGCAAGAGTCACCGGAAGCGGAAGTAGCCCCAGTAGAGGAGGAATGGCCAGTTTCCAAATCTAGTTCGAAGACAAACGACCAAACTGGTACGTAACAAAAGGTCTAAATGGATTAATTATCTTAGACATCAGAGTTGTAATTACAATCTTAAGTTTACCCCTTCAAGCCTTGCGATCCGTGGGGCATATGACCTCGGCATACGAAGTGCCGTCAACACTAAGACTCCCGTTTACTTTCCCTAAAGTGAATCAGGTACCATTAAAAGCTGGGTGGACTCGGCGACATCATAAGGAATCGAACCCAGGATCCAATCTTGAGACTTTGGGGTTAGCTGTCATACGCTACAACCACGTCGTCTCATCATTTTGGTTGAAATAACTTAAAATTCAACAATAATTCAACTAATCATACACACTGTATATCTATTAAAATACCACATAACAATTAAACACGACATATCACCAAGACAATGGTCTATGTTATACAATGAAACACTGTAGACTTCCGTCTATGACAAAGTAAAATGTTTGTTGATCTGGCTCGTCTACAGGACCTGTATCGGAAGAGGTCACAATTCCAGTCAGAGCTAAGTCCGCACCCTTTGCTGATGGGACGAGATCCAAGACAGGTAAGGTATTATTCACATGGTAAATTAGCATTCAAATCGGGTCATTTTGGAACTGTTCACAGAGTAAATTAGCATTCAAATCGTGTCATTTTGGGACTATTCACAGGGTAAATTAGCATTCAAATCGTGTCATTTTGGAACTATTCACAGGATAAATTAGCATTGAAACCGTGTCAATTTGAGACTATTCGCAGAATAAATTAGCATTAAAACCGTGTCATTTTGAGACTAGTTTACACTGTCCCTTGTTGCCAAGATCTGTTCCGCACACGGCCCACAGGCCAGCTGCTTGCAGACACTAGGGATAAAAACAATGGCAGTACAGTTGTCTTTCTGTTAGCATAACGCCCTATTTAACAATAAAAGAAAAAAAAAACGATAACAAATTGGTTTCTTTGTTTCACAGGTCCAATGGGCTATTCAAAGACGAAGGTAGGTACATAAACTGAGTTTGAAATCTAATTAGTCAAACTATAGTATACGTTAACTCAGTGGCGTAGCGAGGTGGGGGGGGGGTGTGTACCGCACCGGGTGACACCATTAGGGGGGGTGACACCAAGGCAAAAAATAGCAAAATATATAGAGAAAAATGATAATTCCACTTAATAAAGTGATTAATTCGAGTGTTAAATAGTCTTTTAAGAGGTGTAAATAGAAAGTTTGAGGGGGGGGGGATGCAAATAGAAAGTTTGAGGGGGGGGGGGAGGGAGTGCAAATCGAAAATTGAAAGTTTGTCCCCGGGAAGGGTCGCTACAATGATTGATAAGGTCCACTTTTCTTTTGTGATCTGCAGCCCAAATCCGAAGGGACGATCTCTTCAGCAGAAAAAAAACGTCGCATCCAGGACCAGAAGTTGTGTGCCAGATTAGCAGAGATCAGCAGACAACCCAGCAAGCTGGACAACTGGATGAAACCTGGCCCGTCGTCAACGTGAGTGTGGCGTCAGCTATCTGTGTACTCACGCCCGTGTGTGTTAGCTACCCATGTACTCATGCCCGTGTGTCGTGTGTTAGCTACCCATGTACTCACGCCCGTGTGTGTTAGCTACACATGTACTCACGTCTATGTGTGTTAGTTACCCGTGTACTCACGCCCGTGTGTGTTAGCTACCCGTGTACTCACGCCCGCGTGTACTCACGCCCGTGTGTGTTAGCTACCCTTGTACTCACGCCCATGTGTGTTAGCTACCCATGTACTCACGCCCATGTGTATTAGCTACCCGTGTACTCACGCCCGTGTGTGTTAGCTACCCGTGTACTCACGCCCGTGTGTGTTAGCTACGTGTACTCACGCCCGTGTGTGTTAGCTACCCGTGTACTCACGCCCGTGTGTGTTAGCTACGTGTACTCACGCCCATGTGTGTTAGCTACCCTTGTACTCACGCCCATGTGTGTTAGCTACCCATGTACTCACGCCCGTGTGTGTTAGCTACGTGTACTCACGCCCGTGTGTGTTAGCTACGTGTACTCACGCCCGTGTGTGTTAGCTACCCGTGTACTCACGCCCGTGTGTGTTAGCTACCCGTGTACTCACACTAAAATACTTAGTTAGCTACTCTTGATCTCACCCATATCTCCCCCTGAAATCAGTGCTGGCAGAATGATGGAGCACAAGCGTGTAATGGAACAAGAGGCCATAGCCAAAGAGAACGAAAAATTCGCCCATCGGTTGTTCAATCTGGAGTCTGGCTACAGCCGGCAAAAACAACTCAAGGATTATGAGGTAAGATTTTCTTTTACTGGTGTAGGGCAGTGGTGTATACATGTAACGTTTAGGTTGCTAACTACGCGAGAGTACACACAAACACATACACAAGCACACACGCACATTCTCACGCGCCGGTTGAACTGGCAGCCCGTCCTCATGGAACCTCCGCTCACTCCACAGAAGGCAGCCGGTCAATCGAGGGTGTCCACCCGTTTCCAGGAGGAGCCGGTCAAACTGACGTCACATGAAGTCACCGCCTCGAAACTGGCCAGAGAACAGGTGCGTGGGTTATGCTGGGGCTGTTATTTATGGTGAGTTGATGCTCATGCGTTATGCTGGGGCTGTTATTTATGCTGAGTTGATGCTCATGCGTTATGCTGGGGCTGTTATTTATGCTGAGTTGATGCTCATGCGTTATGCTGGGGCTGTTATTTATGCTGAGTTGATGCTCATGCGTTATGCTGGGGCTGTTATTTATGCTGAGTTGATGCTCATGCGTTATGCTGGGGCTGTTATTTATGCTGAGTTGATGCTCATGCGTTATGCTGGGGCTGTTAAATATGCTGAGTTGATGCTCATGCAAAGAAACGAGAAGTTATAATTTGGCGAGAATGCAAACAAATGAAATATCATCAAATCAGACAACTGTGACGGGTTATAGACACGCGAGCGTCAAAAGAAGTTGTAGCACCTCAAGTTGGTGGAGGGGGGGGGGGGTTAATATTACAGATCGAGGCCAAACTATTTTCTGATTGAGTTAAATATTTCAGACCGAGGCCAAACTATTTTCTGATTGAGTTAAATATTTCAGACCGAGGCCAAACTATTTTCTGATTGAGTTAAATATTTCAGACCGAGGCCAAACTATTTTCTGATTGAGTTAAATATTTCAGACCGAGGCCAAACTATTTTCTGATTGAGTTAAATATTTCAGGCCGAGGAAATGGACCGTTTTATTTGTGAACAAAAAAGGAAAATGGAAAGCCCAAGGCCGCTCACCAGAAGTCAAAGTCTCCCGCCATTACGGAAAAGGTGAGCTATTTTTTTCATCACCTCCCGCCATTACGGAAAAGGTGAGCTATTTTTTCATCATCTCCCGCCATTAAGGAAAGGGTGAAATATTTTGGGGAAGTTCATTGAAAACTTTACCTTCCATAGCTTACCGAAAGACCTATGTTAGTTTTTCATCATTGAGCGCCCAACATATAGCTTTAGTAGGGTTACACCAAGTAATATTTTTATTTTTTACTTTTTAGCGCAGTTTTTAATTTTGGTCTGTTTTTATTTGTGAATATAATAAAAACCTTTTTCCTTAAAATTCTTGTTTAAACGAGAGACATTTTGTTTAGATTTCTTGCCATTAAGGAGAGTTTGATCCATTAGACCACCCACGTGATATTCCATTCTTTTGCTACAGAAAACTTCAGTTTTATCACTGGATTTATTTCAAAGAAAACGCATACTCTATCTTCTTCTAGATATCTTCAGGCAAATACTGAATAGCGTCCCTTGAAAAACATTCAAGTTAAATCAAGCGAGAGAATTCGAGAAGGGGAAACAATTACATATAAACATCTTTTTTTAAAAAGGGGACAACTAAATCTAAGGAAACGATAATTCCTACATAAATGTTACATGTTTGTCTATTTCATCGGAAAGGGGGGGGGGGGGAGGGGGGGGGAGTTAAAGAAAAAAATCTTGACGCCGATGAAACAATCTTGTCATGCAGTGTAAAATGACAACTCAGGTGACGTAGACCTATCACGTGATCAGAACACGCCTCATGCATGAAGCTGCTGAATGTAATTTTTTTTCTGTCCCCCCAGAGATGGCGGCGTGTCTCCGTACAGCAGACTCAGGTTGGAGAAAGAGTTTCAGGTAGGTGGAGGCCGACTGGTCGAGTCGCTTGTCACTCAGCTGTTTCAGGTAGGTGGAGGCCGACTGGTCGAGTCGCTTGTCACTCAGCTGTTTCAGGTAGGTGGAGGCCGACTGGTCGAGTCGCTTGTCACTCAGCTGTTTCAGGTAGGTGGAGGCCGACTGGTCGAGTCGCTTGTCACTCAGCTGTTTCAGGTAGGTGGAGGCCGACTGGTCGAGTCGCTTGTCACTCAGCTGTTTCAGGTAGGTGGAGGCCGACTGGTCGAGTCGCTTGTCACTCAGCTAAGAGGGCAGAGGTCTTGGTGAGAACTACCAAATGCAGTTCATTTAACATTGCGGTTTTTGAAAATCAGTTCTAAATTTGAAAGAATGTTAGCAACAACCCATACATATCAAGCAAAGTCCATCACACGTTGACTTGCTCGTGAGTTCAATGAACAACGACATGAACATCAAATTAGTCAACACTACTTTATAGGCTAATTATCTTCAACACTACTTTATAGGCTTTTTATAGTCAACACTAGTTTATAGGCAATTTATAGTCAACACTACTTTATAGGCTTTTTATAGTCAACACTACTTTATAGGCTATTTATAGTCAACACTGCTTTATAGGCTTTTTATAGTCAACACTGCTTTATAGGCTTTTTATAGTCAACACTACTTTATAGGCTATTTATAGTCAACACTACTTTATAGGCTATTTATAGTCAACACTACTTTATAGGCTATTTATATTTAGCTACAGTTTCTATAAGGTATTGTGTCACATTAAAAAAAAAAAATTGACATTTTTATTCGCTTTTAAAAATATAATTTTATTGTTCTAGGAGAATTATAGAAAAATGCTGAACGGTGGCAAACGCTCTGCAGACTGGACTAAATGGATGCCGGTTAAAATGACATTTGATCCTTTTCGGATTCGCATAGAGAGCGACAAGCAAGTCAAGAAGCAGGTACGTCATTTTTGGGGAGAAGGGGGAGGGGGGGGGGGGGACGACGTAAGATGAGATGGGTTGGGTGAAAAGGTGAGTTTACAGTTTTAATATTTACATGAATGATCAAAGCTCAATTTAGTGTCGGTTAATCAAAGATTATATTCATGGCAAATCACGCAGATTGTTATCAAAAGATCATTCAGTGATGTACTAAGTTTGTATTCAAAAGATTTTTCTTTCATTTAGAAGGCTCATCACTTGAGCATGAGAAAAATCATTGCTCGTATATATAAGAAGATCATCAATTGTGTATGTTGATTATTGTTCTTGTGTCATGGAACAACACTAGTGGTTGAATTACCCCTCTCATCCTACACACACACACAATACAACATTGTTTATTTAACCCCCCCCCCCCCCCTCTATCAAAACACAATACTGATTTTTAAAACCCCTCCGTTCCTCCTCAATACTGATATTCGCCCCCCCCCCAATGCCAGACTGATGCCCCCCCCCCCCCTCATCACAAGACTGATGGTGTTACACCCCCCCACCCCCATAAGACAGATTATTTTACCCCCTCCACCCCTCTTAACAACTGATGATCCCAAACACTTTTGGTATTATTCCCCCCCCCCTTCCCCCTCACTACAAGACTGACGATTTTGTCCCCCCCCCCAACACAAGACTGATGATTATGTTTACCCCCCAGGCGCAGAAAATCGATGAGATGTGCCGCAACAAAGAGCCCCCTTACGCCCCGAAGCCCAAGTCAGCCACATCGGTCCTCTTGGCCAACTTAAATCGCGTGTAACAGCCCAGCCAATGGACTCGTACATACGAGACCACGTGATCCAGTTCACCCAATGAATTACAGTGTTTGGATGGGACGTCACGCCCAACTTTATGAACCAGAAAAAACAATTAGGTGCCAGTCCATCTTGAAACCAAAGGGAATAATGTCCCCTTTTTTTAGTGTAGAAGATATTGTCCCCTTATTCATGTAGGGAATTTCGTCACATTCTTTATGTAGGGAATATTGTCCTATTCTTAATGTTTTCCATCTCAATGAAATAAATATCTGAAAATTAAATTACTCAACTTTACTTTCTTTCCTAGTGTCAAGAGTAGCTTTATTGTTTAGTTTCATTTTCACTTTCCTTTTCAAAATTTTATTAGAATTTTTTCCCTTAAGTTCTTCTATACATGTTGGTTTGTCCATACACATTTAGTTCGTCTGTGTAATTTTAGTTCGTTTATACAACTTTAGTTTGTGTATACACATTTACTTGGTCATAAAAATTTAGTTTGTCTATATACATTCGGTTCTTCTTTATACATTTTGTTCGTCCATATAATTTTAGTTCGTTTATTAAACAAATTTACTTTGTCGTACAAATTTGGTCCTTCTTTATAAATTTAGTTCGTCTATACAATTTATTTTAGTTCGTTTATTAAACAAACTTAACATTTAGTTCGTTTATATAAATTAAGTTGGTTTACTTACGTTAAGCAGGCAAAAAAAGTTTGTAAGGAGCGCTTTCTATGTATGGGACAACGTGCTCAAATAGTAGAGCGTCACGCTGGTGGGTGGGGAGGTGGGTGTCACGCTGGTGGGTGGGGGGTGTCACGCTGGTGGGTGGGGGGTGTCACGCTGGTGGGTGGGGGGTGTCACGCTGGTGGGTGGGGGTGTCACGCTGGTGGGTGGTGGTGGGGTGTCACGCTGGTGGGTGCGTGGTGGGGGGGGGGGGTTGTCACGCTGGTGGGTGGGTGGGGGTGTCACGCTGTGTACACCACATTACACAGAGCGTCACACTGGTGGGTTGGTGTCACGTTGTCTACTCAAGATTTTACTATTTATGGGGTGAAACCAACTCAAACAAATTTCAAAGTTTAACTGATCGGGGAAAAATAATAAAATACTAGGGAACGGGGGTGAGTGTGTGTGACACCATATCGAAGGGAATGGTGGCTGTGTGACACCATATCGAAGGGAATGGTGGCTGTGTGACACCATATCGAAGGGAATGGTGGCTATGTGACACCATATCGAAAGGAATGGTGGCTGTGTGACACCATATCGAAGGGAATGGTGGCTGTGTGACACCATATCGAAGGGAATGGTGGCTATGTGACACCATATGGAAGGGAATGGTGGCTGTGTGACACCATATCGAAGGGAATGGTGGCTGTGTGACACCATATCGAAGGGAATGGTGGCTATGTGACACCATATGGAAGGGAATGGTGGCTGTGTGACACCATATCGAAGGGAATGGTGGCTGTGTGACACCATCTCGAGAGGAAATGAGGGTGTGTGTGACACTGAAGAGAAAATTGTAGAGCATAAGATTTCTTATCTGAAAGTCTCGAGTTCGAATCCCGGGCTGGTAGAGCTTCCCTGAGTAAACCCAGCTGTGATGGGTACCTGACACTTGTTCGGGAAAGTAAAAGCGGCTGGGCATATTGCTGATCACACTATCCCTTCATATGTTGAGGTCACTAAAACAGGTGATCTATACTTCACCTACACCATGAACCGTCAGATTCGATAGGGTACTTGCCTACATTCTGATAATTGAGTTTTTAAAAAGATTTGGGGGGGGGGCACGACTACCTCACCCCCTCCCCCAATCGAAATAGACTTTATTCAGCTAATATAAACTATTACCAGTGTCCGCATCCCCCCCCCCCCAGAAAACTTAGTCCACCCCCCCGGGAATTTTAAAGCCCCCCCCCCTCCCTCCAACCCAACCCCGGAGAAAAAAGGTCTGAAAGAAACACTGGTACACACGTTGACAGACTTAGGCTGAAGAAGCTGCAACACTTTCGCGGCTGGTGCAGACGGGTGCGCACTGCGCAGTGTCTTGACGTCATCAAAAAAATTCATGGTTCCTTGCCTTGTCTGCAATGAATATTTCATGTTTTTTTTTTTAAAACCAACAGAGCAGGAAAGTATTGTATGTTCTAGTGGTGTAGCGCTGGATGAAATCGCGTGTTGATATCAAGCTAAGAACATCGTCAGACCATGGAGAGTTTGAGGAAAACCAAAGGGAAGGTGACGAGCCCGACGTGGGAGATGGATGCTGTGGCCTGTGCGGAGGTGGATAAAACCATCCAGAGAGTCGTCGGGAGCGTCGTGAGGAATCATCTGGCACAGGCTCTGGCCAACACACGCTCCAGCGGTAATAGTGGGTGCTATTGGGTACCTGGGTCCCCCTCCACGTTCTGTTAGAGTTGGGTACCTGGGTCCCCCTCCACGTTCTGTTAGAGTTGGGTACCTGGGTCCCCCTCCACGTTCTGTTAGAGTTGGGTACCTGGGTCCCCCTCCACGTTCTGTTAGAGTTGGGTACCTGGGTCCCCCTCCACGTTCTGTTAGAGTTGGGTACCTGGGTCTCCCTCCACGTTCTGTTAGAGTTGGGTACCTGGGTCCCCCTCCACGTTCTGTTAGAGTTGGGTACCTGGGTCCCCCCCCTCTCCACGTTCTGTTAGAGTTGGGTACCTGGGTCCCCCTCCATGTTCTGTTAGAGTTGGGTACCTGGGTCCCACTCCACGTTCTGTTAGAGTTGGGTACCTGGGTCCCCCTCCACGTTCTGTTAGAGTTGGGTACCTGGGTCCCACTCCACGTTCTGTTAGAGTTGGGTACCTAGGCCCCCCCCCACGTTCTGTTAGAGTTGGGTACCTGGGTCCCACTCCACGTTCTGTTAGAGTTGGGTACCTGGCCTGCTAATGTTCATGTTATAGTTATAGGTATGGTTTGGCCTGCTTGTTTATGCTGTGAATGTAATATCGGCCACTCTATGAGCCGATCTTATAGACATATGTCATTTGATGTACCGATCTTATAGACATAGATCTATATGGCATTATATATGGCATTTGATGTACCTATCTTATAGACATATATGGCATTTGATGTACTGATCTTATAGACATATATGGCATTTGATGTACCGATCTTATAGACATATATGGCATTTGATGTACCGATCTTATAGACATATATGGCATTTGATGTACCGATCTTATATTATAGACATATATGGCATTTGATGTACCGATCTTATAGACATATATGGCATTATATATGGCATTTGATGTACCTATCTTATAGACATATATGGCATTATATATGGCATTTGATGTACCGATCTTATATTATAGACATATATGGCATTTGATGTACCGATCTTATAGACATATATGGCATTATATATGGCATTTGATGTACCGATCTTATATTATAGACATATATGGCATTTGATGTACCAATCTTATAGACATATATGGCATTTGATGTACCGATCTTATAGACATATATGGCATTATATATGGCATTTGATGTACCTATCTTATAGACATATATGGCATTTGATTTACCGATCTTATAGACATATATGGCATTTGATGTACCGATCTTATAGACAGATGTGACATTTGATGTACCGATGTGATTATAAATGATGTCATGTGACATGACGACCCGAATGACAGATGTGACATACGATATGCTAAAAGCTAATTTTCCCCCCAGACGTATGCCAGAAGAGTGACGTCAACACCAACACCAACAACTACTTCTGTGATGCCGCAGGGAGCGACTCTAACGATGACGTCACATCCGCCCCGGGCACCAGCGGGCCGGTCGACGATGCCGCAGACGAAGAGACATATGACACAACCTTGGTGCCAGAAATGGACACGCCCACTGACCTCACAGACACGCCAGATGTCAATGTCAATCACGACCAGGAGGGCAACAGACACGCAGGGGGGCGGGGCAGGGGGCGTGCCACAGGACGCCAGCCACGCCCAGCTGTCATTGACTTCGGACTGCCGGACGACATGAATGGGGATGTTGAAGACGACGGCTTTGAGTTCGTGTTTGCAGTCGATCAAGGCCGAGATGTGAACCAGCCTCCACACCTGGTCCCTGCAGGCCAGCACCCCGCGGTTCAAATCCCGCTCCAGTTCCTGCAACAGCCACACATACACTTCCATCCTGCACAACCCGTAGTCTTCCAGCCTTTAGCTCCTCAACCAGCTGTCAACCCTCATGTAGTCGCCCCAGGAGCTAACGCACCCTTCCATACAGATGTCCCAGCTAATGCCATGACCAATGCTCCAGCAAATGTCATGACCAATGCTCCAGCAAATGTCATGACCAATGCTCCAGCAAATGTCATGACCAATGCCCCAGCAAATGTCTTGACCAATGCCCCAGCAAATGTCAGGACCAATGCCCCAGCAAATGTCGTGACTAATGCCCCAGCAAATGTGATGACCAATGCCCCAGCAAATGCCAGGACCAATGCCCCAGCAAATGCCATGACCAATGCGCCGTTTACCATGGGAGCATCCAGACCGGAAGCCATGCCGGACAACGCCGTCACAGAGAACGAGAGCGAGCTGGTGGTCACGGCCGTGACCTTAAACCGACCCGACGACCCGGTGACCTCTGCAGACCCCCTCAAGTCCCTGATGACGGACCCGCCCCAGTCCGTGTCCATCAACCTGTCAAGGGTTGTCTTCACCGACAAATCGTGTGTGATGTCCCAGCCCCTCGACCTCTCGGTCATACAGGGGGACGACACGACGGCTGACAGCGTCTCCCTACCCCCCGACCACAACCCCCGGGGGCCGACGATGATCCTCAACACGCTGTACAAGCGACCCTCCAGCGATGGTGACGTGTACACGTCCCTGATGGACAGCACGTTAAATGACGTCAACATGCCGTCTCTAGCCCAGCTTGACTTATCCCAGAACGACACAGGTCCCGCCAGCCCCAACAGACAGAACGAGTACAAGGACTTCTCGCTCAACGACGTGGTCCTGCCGCCGGACTTTGCTTTTGCCGAGCAGGATTTTAAAAGGTTGGACGTCTTGTTGAACAACCAGCCGATGCTGATGGAGATGGAGAGAACGGACAACATGGCGGACGCTTTGCTGGAGCAGGTGATCGGCGGGGGTAGGGAGCGGGAGATGGGGCCCAACAGCACGCGGGGACACGAGGAAGGCATGGACGAGGAGTTTTTCTCGGTCCAAGACGGAAGGTCAGGGATCACGGACATGACCCGGGACGAGACGACG